GTTCACAACACACGGACCTCGTTGGAATCGTCCTGTATGTCCGTAAATGACTTGGCTTCGAAACAGAGAAAATCGAGGCGGCATCCTCTTCGATACATCCCTCAAGACTTCCAACATGAGACCCTATGGATGATCAATGCTGTTGAGTCGAAACAAAGAAATATGGGCAATATTCGATACCAGTCGCATCAATGTTACAAACACTAATCCCGTTCGTCTGCCTGGCAACAGAAATCANAGGCAAAGGGTTAAAAAGTACCAAAAATAGGCGCGGTGTAAACGAATACGAAAATTCCACAGTATCACAATTTCACTATATTTTACGTTTTTTGACATTTTCGTTCATAACATTGTGTAGGGTTGATATCAGTTTAGTAAACGTATGCAGTCACTAGTTGTGATGGAGACTAAGCGAGTCGAGTTGGTGTCACTGGTGTGTTTGGGTTCAAGTTTCGAACCCTAACACGCACCATAGAATTTTGGTGATAGGTAGTTGAGCTATTGTCCGGTTTGATACCATACCTATTCCATTGGTAATTCAAGTGACTAGCTACCTCAAGAACAAGGAGCTGTGCTACTTGTTATAATAAATCAATAGCAGATGTTCAGTATCCTCGGATATCATGATGACGAAATCTGGAAAGCTGTGGATTATTACGAACGCAGAAAGGGAGATGTAAGGGGAACACACCGAACTGTGAAAAATGACGCCTCAATAATTGACAAGATTCTGCTTCATGGGCGGTAGATGTGGTCACGTAGCTACGTACAACGTCATTTCAATGAAAACCAATGCTTATTAATTACCGATACCATTGCTCAAAAACGTGCCCTCTTAGCAACGGCCATTCGCTTTCGGATGTCTAACTTAGGACTACATTTACCACAACAACATGCTGTTTACCTTTGAGGGTATTTAGGGCGTTACCCGCTTTCGAAGTTTAAATTAAGTGAAAATAGTAAGAGATTAGTGTCCAATAAGAAAGGGAAAAGCAATGGATATCATGGAGTCGCGGTTGACAGGTTAAGTGAAAACACGGAAGTATACAACTATCCTTACTTATTTCTTGAGGCTTGCTTCTTATGTGATACGATCGATTTTTGGAGGGTGGATTGCACAGTACGAAAGGCGTAGTTGCGGGCGCATTTGTCCATCCCGGATTTGGATCGAAAACCGGGATTAATCCGGGTGGGAGACGCAGACAGTCTGAGGCTTCATCCCAAGATAAAGGTTGAGTCGGTTGATTTTGAGATTGAGAGTCATCAGAGTGATCAATCGAGGATGACATCACCCCTCCGCGTGGTCTGGGTCGTCGTAATCGGCGTCGTAGCTGTCGGTTGGTTTTAGAACTGGAAAAGATGGAAATCCTATAGGGGTCCTCGGAACTCGGAGGTTTAGGGGGTTTTGAAGTTAGAGTGACCGCAGCAGGAGAGCTTGCTTGTCGTAGCATGGACGGCGGGAACTGAGTAGTCTGTGTGACAACGACTTCTTTCCTGGGTAGTTTCTCGTTTCCCTAGGGGAGATGTGGCAAGAAGAACAAAATTCGAAGTCAGTGTTCTATTTGGCGTTAAACCGTTTGATACCGACTAAGTTCATCAGGTTCAACATATTTTCATGCGTATTACCAGCTTATATAAAACTATTTAAAACCGATGTCCCACACTGGAGTATGGTGAACATGGTAAGATAAAATACCGTTTACCGTTACACGTAGGTGACGGAGTACATTTTGAAAACAAATCACTACGAACTAGTTAGCTAAAGACAAAATGTAGCGTTCTTCCCCAAATCAATGGGATTAACGCTAGGGAAGTTTATTCGGATCAGTCTGTTTTTCTTTGTACACGTCATTTTAATAAAATTTGACCTGTTTAGTGTGGCCATGTTAGAAAACTGATTAATATCGATCAGAAATCATCATCATCATCATCATCAATGTACAGCTTAATACAGAAATAAACCATTCCAAGTGCTACATCCATTTGCCTGGAACAAACTACAAAGGAGAAATCAAAAGCTTACAGTTTCCGTTTGGTTTGTACTTGTCTCTTCAAGATCAGCAGAAACGACCTTGCCAGTTTCTGTTTTCAGACCGTGGCGATGACGGTAGTGATGGTCACGATGGTGATGATGATGCTGACGGGGCGATGGAAGCGAGTCAAAAATCAGGCCGGATTCCGAAACAATATCGTCCACTTCCTCTCCGGTCTCTTCCGCGTGATCACGATTTTCTATAAACCAACAGTCCAGAGTGGTTTGTGTTTTGGTGTCGTCCTCTGCACCGAACGGGACCACACTTGTGCCTAAATCCGACTGGGCAGTGGCACTGGCCAAGCGAACAAACCGATCAGAGATTGTTGGAGGTAGACCTCGAGGGAAGGTGGAATCGCTGGAGGAAATGTTGCTCTCAATGATTGCCTCAACGGTATCAGCAAATTCCAACGCTTCGGCATCTTCCGGATTCAATTCATATTGTTCGGATATATTCTGTTCGGGAATCGGGGAATGAGGATGCAGCACAACAGAAAATAGGAACAGGGTTGCGCAATGTAAAAACTCAATCAGTAGATGTCCACAGTGTACACTGTGGGAGAGTAGTTCGATATTTTTATAATAGATGAAATGACCGAATACACTGAGAACCAGGCACACTCACAATGAGATCTGATAGTGCTATAGTAGCGCTGTCGTCCCAGAGTCTCGCAATCTACGGCGTTCAATTACTGGTTTATTGTTGTGTCATGGTTATCATCTGCAGAAGTATGCAACTCTACTATAGACCGGTTCAATATCTATAATTACCGTCATTCTCTGGAAACACCTCAAGAATAAATCAAATTGGGCAGCGGTGGCCACCAGATTGTAACTCGGG